GGCTGAATATCACACCATTGGCTCCACAACTGCCAAAATCTTATGGATGCAACAACTCTTACTTGAATTTGGCATTCAACTACCTCAACCTCCAACAATTTTCACAGATAATATTGGCACTAATTATCTATACTTTAATCCTGTTTTTTATACACGAATGAAACACCTCACCATTGATTACCATTTCGTAGATACCTTGTTGCAAAGAAAGAACTCCACATCTCTCATGTTCCTTCTAGCCACTAGCTTGATGACTTGTTGACCAAGCCTCGATCTCGTAACACACATCAATTTCTAACTTCCAATATTGGCGTCGTTGAATCCTCTTCCATCTCAAGGGGCATAAATGAGCAATATTAGCCACATAATAACAATGATGTACTAACTTGCATAATATAACTTAAGGAAATTTCTTATTGCACCCCATGCATTTCTTTCCCACCGTGTGGTTTTCCACATATGCCCCTAGATTCCGGAGATATATCTTTGGACGCGCCTCATGGCTGACTAAAAGTTAATAATTTTTTGGAGATATATCTTTGAAACAATTTAAACCTTAAATGGTCACAACATATCTCCCATAGCCCATTACCATTTGAATATTTCCGGAGATGCATCTACGAGAAATTTTCAAAGATACATGTCCGAAGTGTATCAAAAGAAGTTTTTTTTAATTTTAAAAACGCATTGTGTATTTGTTTGCAGATGGATTATAAAATAACAGACATACTAAAACACATAACATTATAGTAATAGGATGTCATACGTCACAAAAATCCAAAATGTAGTAATAATGTCAGGAAAAATGTATAATCTATAGTACTAAAACAAAATAAATATAAGCAACTACTAGGTGTTCCTGACAACCTCTCATCTGCCTCCTCGACCGTCGATCCCCACCGTCCTCGCGTGATGTTTGCGGTACAAAAGTGCCCCCTATGCCTATGCAATAATGCCATCAAGTACTCGTTTGACAGTAGACCCCTCAAGGAAGATACTCTTGTCAATGTCTGTCTGCACCATTTTCACTATGCGACAATAAAGAGGCAAGACATCCTCAATATTATCCAGCTGAGCATGCTTCTCCTTTAGAATCTCCCGATGAACGGGTCTCAGCAGATCTCATGGAGCAGTCAACACCATGTATAAATGTGAGACTCTGAAGAACCATCTAATGTATCCGTCGACGTAGCTCTAGTCTTTCGATGTTATGGTAGCCCGAGCCTCCTCCGGTACCGGATGGCTCTGATAGTCAACAAACATTTCCTCTATCTGTATAAGAGTCAAGGCAGGATGAGTAGAGACAACAGGGTGTCTAAGGATAGTCTGAATGTACGCAAAATGCCATATGACGCGCTCGAGTAGATGAGGAATAGTGATACTCGATCTGCAGGCCAGCCATCCAGAGTATAGCGATACATCGCCAAATGGTCACGTCTGACGCTAATCCACGTACAGCTAAAATGGATGTCTTTGGCAGCCAAGCGGTCAAGATAGACTCTGAAAGGCTCGGCCGCCTGGTTCCCTCTCAGCGAGATAAAAGCACAGGCACAGGGCATCTCCTCAGTGTACTCATCCCAACATGACAAACCAGCGATGCACTGGAAGTTCTGGAGGATCCAAGTCTGGAATGAAAATAAAAAACATTCAGGGATCAAGAATTATCGCAAATGTGAAATGAAAAAGATAAAAAACATCCAAGGATAAAAAATTATTACCACCAATAGTGTCGTGCTGCCTGTGGTATGCTTTTTCATCCACCGACATCCATCTCTCAGCTTCGAATATAGATATGCAAGGCAAGCCACCCCCTAGTTGTACTCATGGATCCATGTGAGATCCAAGAAGTACCAGAGGTATGCAACGTCAGTGTAGGTGGCACTTGTGTCCACAAAAGTCACAGTGCCAACTAAAAATAGAAAATATGCCCTCAAAGCATGAGTCCTATGTATGGCAACCTCCTGGGCATCACCATCAGCCTGCTCTGCAGCAACGAACGCTTCATCAAATCTCTCTTTCAAGAATGAAAACCTAACACGAGCACCCCTGGTCCTATCCACCTTTTTGAGCGCCTTTCCTAAATCATCCCCCAGATGCTCCACCATCATATCAACCACCTTGTCTTTGGTCATCCTACCATGATGGAGGAATCTCCCCCAGATCGATAGCTGCAACAAAAACGAAACATTGTTCAGTGTAATCGATATCTCACCATGCAAAAGATGAAAGGAAGAGGTATCAGAGTGTCATCGCTCCACGAATGCATTAATCATCCCGTGGTTGACCAGACTATAACTGGTCAAGCATATGTCACTCAATCCAGAAGTGGTCAGAACTGACTGAAGCCACTGTTCATACAGCTGCTGTAATGCTATAATCTTCCACCCATGGTTCAGAAACATTTAGGGATCACACATCTGCGAATTTCCAGAAATAATCAATGTCTATAAGAATCAATGTTAGAAATAATCAATGTCAGCAATTTAGTAACAATGTGACTAATGTTACCTCTCTGTCCCAGATATGTCTGACAGTGTGGTTTGGGTATAGAGGAAGTAAGAACATATCAGATAGACCCCCTCCGAAAGCCTCTGGCTCGACATCAGCAACATCACCCTCAGGAGGTGGCACTTGTGCATCAGGATCATCAACAACCTCACCCTCTGGAGGTGGCACCGAATCCATAAGAGGTGGCACAGACGCATCCCGATGCCTACGGGAGGATGAGGGAAGTGATGCGTCATCTGGTGTATCCTGTGGCCTGCAGGGAGAAGAAGTAGAAGGTGGTGTGAGCTGAGATATAGATGGAGTGGCCTAAGGCGAAGGTTGATCCTCAAGAGTGACCTGAAATGAAGATGGAGTGGCCTGAGGTGAAGGCCGAACCCTATGAGTGGACTGAATCTCAAGAGTAGATTGTGCCCCAGCAGTCGACGCCTCTCCCTGACTAGAGGTACCTACTGGCTCCGCTCCTGGAAAACAGATGCGTGCTGGGAAACCTGTATATGCCTTAATCGGTCGGCTCTGTTAGCCAATATACCTGCGAGGGATAATTAATCGTACAATGAGTTTATGCAAATGAATAACACAAACAAGAAAATTATAAAACAAAAAGAAAAAATAGACTGAGAAAATTTCGGAGATACATCTCCAGAAAAATTCAACGTTTCATGTACTCAGGGTGATTCCAGAGATACAACTCCGAAAACATTCAGCAAATGTATCTCTGAAATCACCCAAAGTACATGAAATGTTGAATTTTTTCGGAGATGTATCTCCGAAATTTTTTGAAACTCAAAGGTTGCGACAATGGCGTTCTCTGTCTCTTAGAATGAGAAATTTGAAGTTCTGATCGTCTATTTGAACCAACAAACAATATATACACCTACTTTAAACTATGTTTCAGCTAAATTATAAACATTTATACACCTAACAATGCATTATAACTCGTTTATAAGAATTCTCAAATATTTATCGAAAACTCAAAAAACTTATCCAAATTATATGATTTGAAAGATGTTGAGTAATGTACTGAATGCTGCTTGATGATTACTCGAGTCTCAGATAGATGAAATTAAATTTGGTGAAGTTGGAGATATTTGAGAATGAGAGGGATGAAGAGGTTTATGAATGAAAATGAAAAAGTGACGGAGGAGAAGAGTCTGATAATAATATGCTCTAAATTGTTCCAAAGATATATCTCCGAAATATTTTCAATTAAATTTTTGTACATATAAAAATATATCTCCAAAATCTAAAAAAATATAAAGAAAAGAAGTCCATAAAAGCAAAAGAAAATCCTCTAACTTAATTGTCAAATATTCTGTTCATTATGTGCTCACAATTGTCTTGTATATCATATAATACATATATTGTAGGTTATATATATATATATATATATATATATATATATATATATATATATATATATATATATATATATATATATATATATATATATATATATATATATATATATATATATATATATATATATATATATATATATATATATATATATATATATATATATATATATATATATATATATATATATATATATATATATATATATATATATATATTGTTATAGTAATTTTACTTTTAAATATTCTAATTTTAAAAATAAATTATCAATTTCTTAATTAATATAATATTTATTGTATTTGATTTTCTATGAATGAAGTAGTAACTTATTTTTTTATCATATTATATTAATTCGTAATCAAACTTAAATTTAAGATTTTTTTCAATAGAGAAAGACAATATTTAGTAAGTTTTAAAATGAATTAATCATAGTATATTATGCCATAAAAAAAATTAAATAAAAACATAACATATACTACAATTATTCTATAAATATCTTTTAAATTAGTTACATTGAGACATGATAAAGAATTAAATATTAAGAGACGAATTAAAAATCTCATTTATTTGTTTTACTTTCTATTGCATCATCACATATAAGATCTTATTAGCCTTTTATATAAATGGAATGTTTGGGTGAATGAGTAGGTAAAGGTAGTGGGGAGGAGAAAGGAAAGCAAAATCGTTTTCACAAGGGAACAAACAACAATAAAGTAAAGTAAAGAGTTTAGTTGAGTGTGCCAACGTAACTACAACATCTCTCTCTCTCTCTCTCTCTCTCTCTCTCTCTCTCTCTCTCTCTCTCTCTCTCTCTCTCTCTCTCTCTCTCTCTCTCTCTTCATTAGATGCATATGCTCTCAAAACCCCCTTTCTACCATACCCACCTTGGCACCTTCCATTCTTGTTCGTCTTCTTCTTCTCTCTTTTAAATTTAACTATTTTTTCATTTATATAATTTCATCTCTCAAATTACGCAAAATTAAAACACAATCAAAACAAAATCTATATTCAATTATAGAAGACCAGAAATTTCGTTGCTGACATTTTCACTTTTTTTCACCTACTTTTATTATTAAGCGCGTTTTTTCGCTTCTCCTTGTTTCCTCTGATCCTCTCTCCGTCTTTCACCAAACTCGATGAGCGATATTAAGGTACAATTTTTCATTTTTGATTAGGTTTTAATTTGTTTACTTCATGGAAATACACTAGTATATCTGAAAATAATCATTTTTTTTACTTGTTCATGGAAATATATATCTGTAAAAGTTGTTAAATGTGAGTTCTGTTTTAACTGTAATGTGCTCACTCCATGGTGTGTTTATTGATTATGATTTTGAAATGAGTTGGATTAATCTCTGTTGTACTATTTAGGGAAGAAGTGGCTTTTGTATGTTGCCAGATGTGAGACAAATTTGCTTTAGAAAAGGGCTTCTATATGGATTTAGTCGAGTCTTTTCGATACCGATGAAAACACTCCGCGGAGCTAGTCGGTCGCTGAGGGTAGATCAATTCTGCAGTGTTGTGAATATTTCTTCCTCTTTAATGATTGAAGTGGTGAGCAGATCTATCCATGATGCAAAATTGAATCAATACACAATACACAATACGCGAGAATCCTAATCAGTTTTCTTTGAATTTCAGGTTCCGTGCTTAAGGGACAATTATGCGTATCTCTTATATGATGTGGATACGGGGACAGTTGGTGTTGTTGATCCTTCTGAAGCTGCGCCGATCATAGATGCTTTGACGAAGAAAAACCTAAATTTGACTTACATATTGAATACACACCACCATCATGATCACACGGATGGAAATGCAGAGTTGAAAGAAAGGTATGGGGCAAAGGTATGATATATATATATATTTTTATCTTTTGCTTTTCATTTTATTTTCATTAATAGTGTAATATGCTTTCAAGTGAGCTTTACTTTGGTTAACTTGTAAGTATTTTCATGTTGTGCGATAGGTAATCGGTTCTAATGTAGACAAGGAAAGAATTCCTGGTATTGATATCTATTTGAGTGATGGAGATAAGTGGATGTTTGCTGGTCATGAGGTGCATATAATGGCCACTCCTGGCGTCACCCGAGGTCATATTCATGGTCTATTTGCATGTGTTTAGCACTTTGGCTCTTTTCGTCTCTTGCACCTTACTTACCTTTTTTTGAAACAGCCAATGTTAGTATGTTAATTTTTAATGTTAGTATTTGTTGGAGGTGGGAAACAAATCCTATACCACACTTATCACTCTATTCCTTAACTCTTAATGTGTATGTTCTTTTCTTACTGATGTTTTTGTGCTGATACCATGCTCGACACAGTTAGGCTTTGTTTGGGAGGGAAAGGGAGGGGAGTGCTTTGAAAAAAATGAAGGACGAAGGGGAAAGAATTGAAGGATTGTAGAAGTTAGGGTTTTGAAATAAAATGAAGGATGAAGTGATAAAAATTGAAGGATTTGAGAGGTGAGGGCTTTATAGGGCTTATTTTTCTTCGTAACACAAAATCCTCTTAGTTCGGGGGAACTAAAAAATTGTATTGGCGGAGGAGGGTTTAAATAAAATTTTCAAATCTAATCTATGTTATAATAATCTAAGTATTAAAAATATATTCATAGTAAGTACACAAAAGCTCTCTCTCAAAAGTTACAAATTTGTCTATTTTTATCTCTAGTCATCTCCTCCCTAAGCCCTCCCCTCCCCTTCCCTCCAAACTCCCAAACAAAGCCTTAGGGATTGTTTGCTTGAGGATTGAGTTTAGTTTTTAAAAACCGTTTTATAAAACAGTTCTGAATTTATTTGAATTTAAAACAGGTATTATCTTTTTTTACTTCATTTTATCTGGCCTTACACCTCGATTTAATTTGTCAACAGTGTTTTAGGACTTTCTATTAAAGATTTTCAGGTTATTGTGTTCGGTAGCTCACTTTCCCAATATACAATCTGTTACAGGTCATATAAGCTTTTATTTTCCTGGATCTGGGGCCATTTTTACAGGAGACACCTTGTTTAGCTTATCTTGTGGCAAAATCTATGAAGGAACCCCGGAACAGGTTGATTTAGATTATTACATTAAGTTTTTTCATTTTGTTTTTTCGGGTTTTAGATTTCTATCTTCTTCAGTGACAACCTTGCAAATATTTCATTCTATTTTGCATGCCTTGATTTGTCCAGTCACCAGAAGTACTAAAATCTGGAAATACCTGCCAAAGAAAGACTTGATCCATTGTTATTTAATTTGTAATTAAATTGTAATTGTATGATAATTGAAACTTGTTTTCTTTTCTAATAATTCATAACTGGTAAATATTAAGTTCCTGTACCAAATATGATACAATTATTTAACATATTACTGGAAGGTCCTGTTTGAATTGAGGTTACCCATGTTTCAATTTTTTAGTTGTATTCTATAGATATAAAATATAAACTCCCCATGTATGCAGTCTTAGTGCAGGAACATTTAAATTGAATTAGTGAAACATTGACATGGGGCAATGCTAATTAAATTTATGCTGCTGTGACTTTTCTTACTAATTACCATGTTATTATTACTGTCGGATTTTACTTTAATGCATAACATTATTTAGTGGTTAAATAATGTTTTTCATATTTCAACTTTGAGTATATGTTGATATTGATACACAATTCTTTTACTTTATCAAATGCTGTGGATATTTTTCAACTTTCAACTTTGAATATATTATTTGTATTTGAATATTAGGTGTGGACTTCTGAATGTGTTACTGATTTGCAATTGTGTCAGTGTCAAGTCAGATACTTGATTCTCCTGTAACGCATTCTATTTCCAATTATTGAGAATTTATTCTGTGTTACAGATGCTGTCTTCACTTAACAAGATCATGTCGTTGTCAGATGATACAAGTATATATTGCGGTCATGAATATACATTGGTTCGTTTTGTTATTTGATCCTTTATGTTTCCTGCATTTTTTTAAGCATAGGAGCTTTAGATCTGACTTTGGTTCTTTAAAATTTGGCAGAATAATTCAAAGTTCGCATTGTCCATAGAGCCTGAAAACAAAGAACTTCAGTCCTATGCTTCACATGTAGCTCACCTTAGAAATAAAGGCTTGCCCACGGTAAGTTTATGAACTGTATCTCTTTTACAGAGTCACTGCAGTCAAGAGATCAGTCCTGTTGAATTAAGATCAGATTACTCACGTTTCAACTTTGATACGTTCGGTTCAAAATGCAAACTCGAAATGTGAGCTGCCTGTTTTTGATTCCACGGGTCCGATTTCGTTTTTCCTTTAGCAACTGTGATTCTTTGAGTGGAGGGAATCCAAATCCATTAGTTATCAATTTGTTTGAATGCTCTGCATTACACTTTTAACAGATTATTGATGTTTCTCAGGTTCCAACTACACTGAAGATGGAAAAGGCTTGCAACCCATTTCTTCGCACATGGAGCACAGAAATCCGACAAAAACTAAATGTTGCAGCCACAGCAGATGAGGCCGAAGCCCTGGGTGTTATTCGACAAGCAGAGGATAATTTTTAGATATTTTTTTTCAATACAAATTTTCATTTATACAGATGTGTATTGTGTATAGATTAGGTTATTGAAGCCACCGACATCTAATTTTCGGTGTCTTAACATACTTTCTCGCATCTCTTTAAGTTCATTCCAGATTTATTGATATAAAATTAGATCAAATTTTTTGTTGTCATGTTGAGTAAAAATAAAGACTCTGATGATGTATTGAAGAAGCCCATCACAGGCTATATTACTGCATACGATAAGAATGCTCTGTGCTGCAATGCTTTTGAAGCAACTAGTTGTAGCTTCTGTGTGAACTTGTGATGGTACTGGTAGCTTCAAATTCAAGTATGAAATTAGCTTCAAATTATTAACTTAGTTGAAGATCATTTATTAGTCTGTTAGTGGCCGTTGGCCATAGTGTAGTATATTATAAATATTTTGATTTGGACATGTTCTCTTGCTTGAAGATGAAGGTGAATTGAGTAAATTTCAGAGGAAAAATTGATTGAAGTGGATTGTAAACTGCACCTCTTCAATTAAAGTAAGGTAGATGGTAACTTTCACCAATTTATAACTTGATAGATAGATTCCACCTAAACGCCAAAACTTAAGCAGTTTATTGTCACTCAACAATCTCTTGTACAACAACGCCATTAACCTCTAATCTTTTGTGTACATAAAAAAATAATGTGAAACCATCATTTCTCTATTCATTGTAATATATTTGCAATTAATTTGGTTAACCACTTCCAATCTGGTGCAGTTGGACATGTCTTAATGTTCACGTCCTTTTATACGAATCATAAAAGCACATAAAATGTACAAGATGGTGACAATTTGGTAGGTCTCACTCCACACCATAAAGTGTGATGTAATCATCATTCATCAGCATCCCATTTTAAGTAACTTTTACTTATGTATATTATTTTATTTCACTGCTAAAAAATTTCATTAATATACTTTTGTACGGTTCATTAATACTACACAAAATGCAACGCATCAACATCATCAAAGTTATAATCAGATTCTAGCCAGGGTCCCAATTCGTGCGAGTAACATTTTCCGCGCCAAAGCAAAGAAAACAAGAACTCTTCTTCTTGTGTTCAAGTAACTAACTACTCATCTCTCTTGCGTTTTCTTCTCTCATTATTAACCAACATTTTAATTGAATACGATACGACATTAACATTCATCCTTTCACAGTCGCATCAATGGACGATCGCTTCACCGATTTGAACCCTAAAACTAAAACGTGTGTGGTTTTAGGCGGAAGAGGATTCATAGGAAAAGCCTTGGTTTTGCGCCTCTTGAAACTCGGCAACTGGATCGTCCGAGTTGCTGATTCCACTCACTCACTCCAACTTCACAGCTCCGAGTCACTCCTCGCCGATGCTCTCTCTTCTTCTCGCGCCTCGTACTTCCATCTTGACGTTACCGATAAACACCGCGTCGCCAAAGGTACGCGTTTTATCCTTTCCGTTACCGATGCGATTTTCTTTCAATATTTATGTAGAAATGAAAAAATGACACCGTTAAAGAAACTAACTAACGGTGTGTTGTGCAGTTCTTGAAGGTTCTTCGGTTGTTTTTTATATGGATGTTGATGGCATCAATTATGACAATGATTTCTACAGCTGCTATAAGCTGATAGTTCAAGGTACTAGTACACTTAGGTTTTTTGCTCTGATTGGCAATTGCATTGGTTTCATTTTCTCAACAACGCAATTTGATGGTTAATTTAGGTGCGAAGAATGTGATCACTGCTTGCAGAGAGTGTAAAGTGAAACGCTTAATATACAACAGTTCTGCAGATGTTGTATTTGATGATTTGCGTAATGGAGTTAAATCGTCGGCATATCAGTGGAAAGTGAGGTTTTGCTTCCAATGCTTCATTTGAAAGAAAAAAAAGGAGAGACTGGATCTGGTGTTTTTCATTTACAATTAAATTAATGTTTTTAAATAGGAAATGAATTTGCAGGTTGATAACATGTTGATTGACCTTAAGGCTCATGCAGAAGCTTTGATCTTGGATGCTAATGATATTGATGGAGTCTTGACATGCTCACTTCGTCCTAGTAATGTCTTTGGTCCTGGTGACACAGAAATTGTGCCGTATTTTCTAAAGCTAGCAAGATATGGTTTCACAAAGGTGCATTACTTTGCATCAGATTTTTTTTCTTCTGGTTAATAGTTGTAAGTTCATATTCCGTTTGTTAAATGTAGGGGGAAAATCGTTCTTAATAGTAACATAAACCTTACAAAGCTTAACTTTAGTTACCTTAGAGGTCTTGTATTAAGGTTGAAATTAACTTAAATCTTCCTTGTTAAACACATGAAAAAAGATTATAGGTTTGACAAATCTTCCCTTTTCAAGTTTTCCCTCTCAAACAATCATGACAAATGGTTTGATAAATCTTCCCTTTTCAAGTTTTCCCTCTCAAAAGATCATGACAAATGGACATATTTGGTCCATGCAACATCTAGGAGTTTTTTCACGTGCCTATTTGCATAGGTGGAACCATCCCCGCAACCTTGAATAAAAGTAAAATAGTGACTGTTTCACAAGCACTTTTGGAGGAGCTAAAGATTTTAGGTTCTGAAGCAAACACACAATAAGTTGTTTTCTGTTCCTTTTTTTTTTCTTCATTCTAAAAGCTAAAATTTTCATTTTTCATGAATAAACATTTCTTCGCACCAATTGAATACTTGTCTATGGCCTTTTCTGGATTTCAACTTCACTAAAATTGGAAACTGGATCTGTATTTCTTTGTGATTCCTTTTCTGCCAATTTTTGTACTTAGAAGTTAGAACTGTCTGATCTGAAACACATTCCATACATTTATGTTAGTAAACATAGTTTCATACTGACTCTTGTGGCATGTGATTTACATTGGTTAGCATTACTGATTATCAATTCTGAATGTCAACTTTTTTTTTGGAGTAACAATTTCTCATTTCAGTTTATTATAGGGACTGGTGATAATCGATCAGACTTCACCTTTTATGAGAATGTTGCTCATGCTCATATCTGTGCAGAAGAAGCCTTAAATTTCCAAACAGTTTCTGTGGCTGGAAAGGTGTATTTATTGAATGCCAATGAGGTTGTCTTAACTGCTTTATTTGATATTTAAGCATAAAAAACGTTTTTCTACTTTATCTGCAGGCATTTTTCATCACGAATCTTGAGCCTATGAAGTTCTGGGAATTTCTCTCACTTTTATTGGAAGGTCTTGGATATCAAAGGTAAGAATTGGAACTTGTTTTCGTAATGATGACATAACATTGTCTAAAATATTGCTGATGCTTAGTTATATATGTTTGACTAACATGATCATGTGATATATGAGCTATTTTGGTGAAAAACAAAACTCTGTAAATTATATTTACTCTGCTCATATCGTTAGGAAAAATATAGCCACAAGCTATATCAAATTTTCTTTTTCATGTCAATTAGGAAATGTCGTACCATCTTGACTCTATTTTTTGAAGAACTGTTTTTATTTTTATGATGTTCTTTGGTAGTTTGGCTCATTTGAGCTAATTCATTCACTGCAGGAGGCATAAACAATATTTCTTGCTTTTCTATGTTACTAGTTTTTTTTTTACCTCTTATGCTGTTAACCAAGATATATAAATCCTTCCTTTAATTGCAGGCCATTCATCAGACTTCCTGCCAATTTGGTGCAATACATTCTCCCGGTTTTAATGTGGTTACATGAAAAGTTGGGACCCAGATGCTTCAGTTATCCTTTATTAGTTCGTTTTTTACAGTTAGCATCACACACCCAAACATTCAACTGCTCAGCAGCTCAAAAAGATATTGGATACTCGCCTATAGTCTCCCTTGAGGTTTTAAATCTTCTTGTTCATGTTTAATTGTTACTTATATTCTGTATTCTTGTTCTTTCCTGTTTGAACTTAGTGACAACTTACTATATGGGATATAACATGTAACTAGCTCAATGATAAAATATTATCTAACGGATGATGACTAGTTCAATGAAAATGGTTGATTCCTTTTTCATACTGTTTGGACCCCAGACTTCACACAAACGCATTAGAGGGCCTTTTAATTTTTTTCCGTCGATCCTTCTGTTAACCAAGGCACTTCTGGAATATTAATTGAAGATGGATTCTTACCATTCATCAATAACTAAATTTGCTTCCAAATTATTCATTGAGTGATTTATACAGAATAAAATAAGGGCAAGGAACGGTATAAATGTTTAACCAGTAGCAATCACCTTCTTTTCCTTCATATATTTTGCTTTAGAACTGCTTTAATTAGAATAAAATATTTTTTTTAAGGCAATCTCTCTCTATGGTACTGAAATTCTTCTATTAAGATTTGCTTTTATATTTACTGATATTGGATACTACAGGAAGGTGTCACGTTAACCATAGAATCATTCGCTCATTTAGCTAAAGATTCATCTTTTTCAAGATGCTCTGGGTGTGTCGATCGGTCAAAAGCAGATAAGCTGCTTGGCTGCGGAAAAGGTTGGAACATAATGCTTTCTTGTGTTAAAATGTTTATATCTACAGTTCAACATTATGAAGTTTTGTTCTCTTAAATTAATCAAAATGATAGCAACTATTGGTGGAAATGGAATGACTTAGAGCACGTTGTTAGGTATGTCTTACTGCATGAATTGGTGGCATCTTCCTTGTTTAACTAACTCATAACCTGCAAGTATATCCTGACATAAGTTTAAGGGCACACCCAACAACAGTAAATATCTTGCTTGTAGGCTTGCCGATGTATCTCAATTTTTGTTTACTTAAGAGTGTGCTCAGTTGCAAAATTTTGTATTGATATCTTCCTAACACTTATATTGGTACAAGATAAAATAAAGGTGAGGAAAATAAAACATCTCATCTGCACCCATGCTGAAATATTGACTGTTCTCCATTAGTATGAAAGTGGACTGAATTATTTTTCACGGATGATTTTCCACTCTTGACCACACACCAAAGACTGAAAATAAAAATCTTTTCCACCCCACTCTAGTTTCTATCTCCCCTTCCAAGCATACCCTCAGATTGCATCACTTATATACTTTTCTCTTTTTAGTGTCTTTTAGTCAGAAACCTGAATACACAAAATTGTTGAGCCAATGGACTTTCTTTTATCATTACAAAACCATGTAGATAGGATACAATTTGAGTAATTCATATTACATGGATGCAATTGAATATTTTGTGGTTTATAATCAATTCACCTAAGTATCAATTTGTCATGCCTTGAATGACATCACATTTTATTGTTGCAGTGGCTGACATTTTGTTATGGAGAGACGAGAAAGCATCCTTCACATATTTCCTTGGGCTGGTTTTTTTGTTTTATTGGTTTTTCCTTTCTGGAAGCAGTTTTATATCATCTAGTGCAAGGCTTTTGCTGCTTGCCACTTTACTTCTATGCGGACATGGTTTTCTGCCATCAAAGCTGTACATGTATGTTCATATGAAATTACTTTATATTTCTGCATTTTAAAAAAATTAGGGAATTTTGTATCCTGGACACAGTATAGCTCAATTTTTTCAATGAAAAGCCTGTTCTGTTATTCAAAAGTTGTCCCTCTCTCTGTTTTCATTCTTGCTGGTTACATCTTTGGCACAACTAGATTTGATAATAGTTATTAATGGCTAATATATTTAATTAAGTTATTTCAAGAGTGGTATGGTTTATTTCGTAGCCATAAAGGATACTTATGTCTCACCACAAATCAGTGCTAAGTACAGGAATTGCTTCATATTTCTACATTTAATGAAGATTTGAAAATTGTTTTGGGAATTTTGGCTCATATTTTCCTTCATATGTCACAGAAAAATCTTTTCCAATGACTAACTGTACGAAACTTTGCTGCAGGCTACCTGTATCTAATTTTAAGATCTCTGATCCGGTGGTGAAAGATTCAGTTGCAATTACAGTACATCTATGGAACAAGGGTTTTCAAAATATAAAGGGACTGGCCAAAGGGGATGATTGGTCTAAATTTTTCAAGGTAAAATATGTGGTCTCGTATTATTATTACTTAATTATTTATTTTAAACAAGACCCTTCCTGTCTTATTCTAATTAAATTTATTATGTTTTCTTTTAAATATATGATGTAGACATTATCCATTTAATGGGAATGTATGCACTCTATTCAACACAACACCCGCTTATTGGGGGTTTGAGGGGTATATGGAAGAAACAATAAAATTGGGATGTGATGGAAAGGAATATTGATAGGAAGTAAGAAGAGGTGTAAAGAGAGATGTTAGAGAAAGGACTACGGAAGGAGTAAGAGATTGTCTGTAAAAGAGTTCTAAATTTCTATTCTTCCAGTTAGCCTGTGAGTCACCATTTCGGTTTTTGTCTTAATGCGTGTTTGGAAACTTTTTTTATTTGAATCCAAACATGCTGATACTTCAGTTTGTTTAAATGACAAAAAAGGTAAGTAAATACGATAACTATACTGAAAACCAGAGAAACATAATAGTCTTCTATTGTTTGGATAAAGAAAAATGAGAATGAAAGTAATGAAACATTCCTTCTCCTTTTATTGGTTGGAAAGGAAGTGAAAAAGAGAGATGAAAATATAAGTATCCTGTGATACATAATATAATGTTATGTTAACAAGTATTTTGACTCATTTCTCTAGCAAGAAAAACATGTTGTGAATCTCATAATTTCTTTTATTTCTCCTAACTCATTTTCTCTCCACTCTAGTTTCTTTTCTTGCTTCATTTTCTCTCAAAACAAGGGTAGGCTTAGAAAGGCAATCTTGAAACAATGAATGATTTATATACGAATAAGTTTTTACAGTGATTTAGATTCTTGGATTTTCTTCCTTCTCATGACATATCTAAAACATTGCAGGTTGCGGTTCTTATTTACCTTCTGAAGTTGACCCTGTCAAAGTTGTTGACAACATTCATAGGCACAGGTATGGGATGGTTGTTTGAAGGTACTGAATTTCAGTGGTTTGCCTTCTTTCACTATTACACACACTGACAGAATTTTATGCAGGTCTGGTCCTTGCATTTATGGTATTCTTTGTTTATGAGCAATATGAATCAGAAATTGATGGACTAGCAGGTATTCTAACTACTAGTTTGAAGGAGTTCACGATATATTTGAAGGGAAATTCACCTCTTTTTGTATCGCGACTTCTGCATTATGGCGACAACTTTTAGCGTTACCAAAAAGAGGTTTCAGCGTAGCTCTGCGATCTTTGACATCCTATAGACTATAAATGACTCACAAAGGTGCAGTTGTGGACCTTCAGGGGAAAATGAGAAATATATAATCATGTTTTTAAGAATGTCCTATCTCCCTTGGTCTATCTCCCTTGGTCTATCTTTTGTAATCACAGGTATTCTAACTAGTGAGTTAGGCTGAAGGCGATGCTGTTTGACATTGTCATGGTACTGCGTTTTACCGGGTGAAATATTAACAAATAGATAGATTGATGATTCATTGACATCAATAATCGTGCTAAAGGAACACGCCATTCTATTGCCAGTACGAAATACTGAGTCTCACTATATGCGTGTCAAATATGTATTGTAATAATAGTAGTTTCTTGAAATAGTTATGTAAATTGCTTTTAAGCTCGAAGTATAGTTTTGGTCTTTATAAAGTGTGCACTTCTTTTGTTTTGGACCTCAAAAGTTTTTTGTTTCATTATAATTTAAACTCATACACTATGAGTGAACATATTTTACATTGTTGATCATTTATAATTGTTACATAAAAAATATTTGACTTTAAAATTGTTCTGGATTTGACTTAAAAGTCCACGCCACCTGCCAACATGTAGCACAATCCCTCACCCAGGGCATACCGAGGAGGATGTCCAGGTCGTTTCCCAGTTGTCTTTATATGGAATCTTTAGACATTTGCAACACCTCATTCTTAATTTATTATCACAATATCACTTGAAAGTTACACAACTTCTCATTCTCAAATTTTGATTGCCAATTCAACCAAACTTTTCGATCTGATGTGAATTGTGTTTCTCTTATCTCACCAAGATTTAAAAGCATTTGCTTTTGTGAACAAATAGCTAACAAGCATCTATGGCACCACAACATCATTCCACATCCCACCTGAGAGGACAAGGCCAGCATTATTCCATCGCTAACCATTCAACCTATGGAAGAAGTTGAGGAGGTCCTACTTAACCTTGTCCCGTTATTGCAAAATCAAAACCAATTTGTTCAGGAGAAAAACCTACCTCGTCCAGCCGGTTGCTGCAAAATCAAAATCAATTTATTCAAGAGAAAAACATGTGCCTACATTGTATGGAAAATCATTGTATTCACCACACCATTGATATGCCTCAAGGTGTTAAATGAAACCCTTAAAAGATTATGTTTCTCTCGGGTATTCCCAACTAAATGTCCTCAACATTAACGTTGTCGCCATCATCACTCATGCCTCAGATCAGCGAGTCTAAGTGAAACATCTTTAGGGTATCATTCACTATTAGAATAAAAGTTTATCCAATTCGAAGTTGATCATGAGAACCTATTATTAAAACACTATTATTGAATTATTCTTTGTGGTGTATTATTATTAGGGTCGGCACAACACATATAAGAAGGATTTTAAAATGAGGTTTTTTTTAACTCAAAAGTAATTTTTATTTAAAATTTTATTTTACAAGTTTTTTGAAATGTAAAGTTATTTATTAAATTATTATAATTGATTTTATTTAATATTTCTTCTTCAATTGATGATAAAGTCAATCCATTTAATCTTTGTTGAGACATTGTTAATTTTAATTTTGAAAAACTTCTCTCAGTAGATGTAATTGTTATAGGAATTGTTAACATTATTCTATAAGCAATATATGCATTTGAAAGATAATCAAATCTCTTTATATAATTAAGTATATCAAATAATGTATCATTTTTTACTTTTATTATTTTTTTTAAAACTTGTAGTTTGATAAATAAATCAAATTCATCAGTATCAGTTTTATCATTATGTTTCAATGATTTTCAAGGTTAAAACAATTTTCTTTTAAATTTTCAACTTCAATGAATTTTAACATCTTAATACTAAATAAAAAATCAAAAATATCACTATATATTTTGAATTGTTCGAATCTATTTTGAATTGAAGTGATTGCTTGATTTATTATATATAAGTAGTCGGTTTTAAATGATTCTTCAGAAGATTTTACAACTTTATTGTTAATAATTTCATCAAATTGTTTATTTCTACGAATAATACGTTTTCCACAAAATTTTGGTTCTATATCCATTTCAAAAGCAATTTTTGTGTGTGCAGAAATCACAGCATTTTCAAACACATTTTTTTCTATATTTTTCAAAAAATAAAATAAGTCATTCAGCTGTTCTATAGCAACATCCATATACATATCTTTTGATTACATATTTTTACTAATAGAGTTTACTGCAAATAACATTTCATACCAAATAATCATTCGACTTCACTTTTTATTTTAGGTTCATCGATAATTTCACATGATTTCAATAAAGCATCTCTTATTTGTAAAGTTTGAAATCTCAAAGTTTTCACACTTTCAATACGACTTTTCCGACGTGTTTGTGACAATGATTTATGTGTTAGGCTAGGGATATGATCTTGTAAAGTTTTCCATGTTAATAGTTAGTGTATATATATATATATATATATATATATATATATATATATATATATATATATATATATATATATATATATATATATATATATATATATATATATATATATATATATATATATATATATATATTGCAACACTCTTAAAAAAATATAGCTTTAGGATAACAATTAGACATGTCACAAAGTAATAAATTTAAACTATGACAACCACATGGAACATAAAATGATTTAGGATTAATGTCTAAAAAGTTTTTTTTTGCACTTCTTGACGTTTTTCTTTCATATTATACCCATTATCATAACCTTGTCCTCTTAGGTTACTAATATTAAGTCCAATATTTATCTCATTTATAATTGCATCAAAAAATCTTTTTCAATTGTATCATTTACTTTTAAAAATTCTAAAAAATATTCAAAAATTTGTATTGGAGTCGAAGAAATATGAACACATCGTAAGACAAAAATCATTTGCTCTTAATGTCTTATATCAGAAGTGCAGTCAAATATAATTGAAAAATGTTTTGCATTTTTAACTTTTTGAATAATTTTTGTTTTAATTTCATTTTCTATCAAACATATTAATTCATTTTGTATCTTATGCTCAAGGTAATGGTTATGAATTTCTTTATCGTTAATTGGACGAATTTGTTCTTACATTATAGGATCAAATTCAACAATAATTTAAATAAGACTTAATAAATTTCCATTATATTCTTGATAAATCTTTTCATTTGTTCTTCGAAAGGTTAGGTTGTTTTTCCAAGAGTTTTAACAATTGCACTTATTTTAAATAAAACATTTTTCTAACATTCTCTATCTCTATTTATTTATTCTTGAACATGTATGTCAATTGTTTTATTTTTTAACAATCTTGTTTCTAAATCAATCCATGAACTCATATTAACGATGTGTTCATTACTCATCTCATGACTACTCAACTTAGAACTCATATTTTTTCAATCCTTAATACCACAACTTGCTAATTTGCTTGTACTAGAAAGAGTATTAAACAATTTACAACAAAAACAAAATACTTTATCCAAATCTTGAGAATATATTAGCCATCTTCTTTAATGTTTTTCTCCGTTTGATAATTTTTTAATATAAAATAAGGAAGAAAAATGTCTTGAAAATTCATCCTTAGAAAAATTATATCGGAAGCTTTAAGGGAAACATTTTTTTACTAATAAATCTCTCAAATTGATACTAATATTTGTCCATTGACTTGAATCAAGTATATTTTTAACGGTGTCTACACTATCAAGCTCTTCTATTAATAAATTACTATTTGTATTTTCATCATTGTCTAAGTTGTTAACTTCATTTACATTGTTAAGTTTTTCTTCAAATTTACTTTTTTTGTGTGCTTGTTTTGATAAATTTATCTAAAGTTTTCTTTTGTGATTCAACTAAAGAACCAAAATTTTTTTTATTCAATTTTGAACTTTCCAATTCAAATTTTCGAATTGACATTCTTCTATTTTAAAGTAAACTAAAAAACATTTTGCAGCACACACTAATATAAAACAAATAAAGTTCACCAATAATAAAATTAAAACAAATAAGATTATTAAAAATTAAAATTAAAAAATAAAATATCAAATAAATAAAACCTGTTTTTTTGTAATGCTTCTTTAATCTTCCCTTTGTTGTTCTCCTTTTTGTCCTTTTTCCTTACAATATTTTTTTTTTGATAATATTTGATTTTTTTTTCTTTGCAAAACTACAATGAGAGATGAGAGAGACAACCAATGTTTATACAAAAGTGATAGGAACATGAGGGATGAAAGTAGAGAAAGAGAAAGAGACAATATGATGGCACATACAAGTAAAAAAATTGTACTATCTATTAGTATTTAATATGAATTAATTTTGAATGAGGGAAATTTGTATAAATAAGCGAAATCATTACATTAAAAAGCTGCTACAAATATTGAGGTACAATATACATATCAAATTGGCTCTTTTATTTCTTGTTTGCAACTTGCAACGAAACAGATTTATAGGAACAATACAAATAATTAATTAATGGTACATCATTGTATCAACAGTACAATGTAATTATGTATAGTTGAAAAAATTGAGACCCAAGGCAAAAGCCTCATTGCCTAGCCTATGAGTCGGGCCTGATTATTCTTGGTCGAGTGTTATTGTTAATAAGCACGACAATAACACACAAAGGCTTTTGTGTGAGTAGATTGATGACCACTTTTCATGGGTCATATATGTGATATCACTAGTATACAATTTATGGGTATTCAGTGTCATCCAATCACACAAGTATACATGTTAAGAGTATGGATGGAAATGAGACAAGTTCAGTCGAATTCGTCTCAGCTCGATTCGACTCGTTAACAATTGATTCAGCTCAAATTTCGGTTCGAGATCGACACAGACTTTTTTTAAGTTTAAACTTGACTCGTTATAAGTTCAAGAATAATTCAATTCAACTAATTGGGTTTAGCCCACTTGCTTCATGGGCTTAAAAACCATTTTTTAAGTGTATTTTTTTATTTATATATTTGACATTTTAAATTAATATTTTTTTTAAAAATAT